TATATATATATACACAATTTCATATTAGTTTAGCAAGTTTTCAGGAAAAAAAATATGAAAGCAAAAACTCATGAAATTTTGCGTTATTGTGATCACCATCCCTGAAGCATCTTATGGAGGGATAGTATTTGCAAGACTTTAGCAAGCATCTTGAAGGGTTCCCCATCTAGGTAGTGGCTGGGGTCAGAGAACAACCTGTATTCAAAACTGACTGTAATATCATCCCTTCTTGATGTTTTTCCTAAGAGCTGTTGTTTCGCCTTGGTGCTATGCGAAAGACTATCACCCCTCGTTTTACGAGAGCTCGTTTTACGCGGGAGTAGAAGCCATAGCTGCCCGTTCTACGGAGGACGACCCGTAATCCCTGAAGCAATCTGTAGCAATGGAAGCATTCTATTAGCCTTCTGTGTAACGAGGCGCTTTAGATTTGGAGGATAAGGTCACTGAGAAATGGTGGCTTTTCACCCTCTGATCTTGACCAAATAATTGGGAACACTGCCTATCAAGTACTTTGGCTAGCCTCAGTGTAAAGGCCTGGAGATCCGAAAAAATTGAGGAGGAAGATCTCCTGATAATCTAAAAAAGATTGGTCTTTTTACTGCAAAACAATGGTTACAATGAGTGAATGTATGTATAATAAAGATAGGAGCCTCTCATTGTAGACTGTTTTCATTTTGCCAAACAGATTGCTATAACTGAGGGAATAAGTCGACTTTGAAAGCTGACAAAGCAAAAACTGAGCACTTGTCAATAAGTCTGTCAGGCAAAAGTGAAAAAAGTGTAAATAGTCACCCGTGGTTCAAGAATTGTAATAGTAATAGTAATAATTCTTACTATATATAAAGCGCTCTGTCTGTCTGTCTGTCTGTNTGTTTGTTTGTTTGTCTGTTTGTTTGTTTGTTTGTTTGTTTGTTTGTTTGTTTGTTTGTACGGAAATTCGAGCATGCAGGGGGGCACGCGCCGGTATTGGGCGGGGTCATGGGCGAATTCTAATTCGGTCTCATAACATTCCAGACACCGGGAAAGAATGTGCAAAGGTGAGGGATGGGTCAACAATTAAAATAAAGGAAAACTACCGGCGGTGGGCGGAGCGTTCTCGCAGTGGGCGGTACTTCGCACAGAGATTCATAACTCGATTTAACGAAGGCGTCGAGGCCAGGAAAAAAATGAAAAGAGTGGGCATGGTCTTATGAGTGCTGGGCAGGTATAAGCTTAGCGAAGCCCCGCCCATGAGGGGCGGGGCGTGCGTTGAGGTGAAAGCTACTTTTCAAAAATGAGTGTAACTTTGCTCGGAAACGTTCTGGGATGCGGCAAAAAGGTGTCAAGGTGTGAAAGAATAAATGTGGTCAAATCCCGAAAATGGGCGGAGCTGGCACATGGAAGCGGGGCTAGAACCAAAAACTCATCTATTCAAAAATTTCTGGAATGCGGAACAAATGGTTTAGAGCAGTCAAAAGAAGGGTGGTCAAGTTTATTGTGGGAAGGGTTTGCACTAAGGTGGACGGAGCTATGATCAACCACTAATGACTCTGCTCAAATATATCGATCGTGATGCTCTCAGCAGTTCAGCGTTCGAATCTAGAGAGAACTATCTTACACTGATTATCCAACATTCCGCAGAATAACTCTATCGTGGATAAGTGGCCGTCGACATATACTGCGCGCGTTAGCGTGCATAGCCAAACTGGTCAGTAATAAGCCAAAGTAATAATGACTACTGAAGGCGTGGGCAAGCGAGGTCTCAGTTGTGTACGGGATAAGAGCACCGGCACAGCACAGCACATGGGCGGGATCGAGTACCGTCTCAATCCATAACTCGCCAACCTTGTGACACTTTCGCATCGCATTTGCGGCGAAAAAACAGTAACTGGCAAAATAATTACAAAATAACAAGCAAGTTACATATTTCCGAAGAATACACTTATAATTCTTAAAGTGGCATAGGTAATTGAAAAAAGAGAAAAAACACAGTCGAGAATGTCATCTGATTTTTCTTTCCACAACTCGACTACAGTCACTAATCACTGGCCACGAGAAATTCTGGTGTTTGGTTTGTCGGACTCACGTCCGTCTGTCCATCCGCAGAATTTCCCGTGACTATGATAAAAGAAATTATATGGAAGTCTCGTCGCGAACTAAGGAAAGCTTCAAAAGGAAGATTATTGTGATGTTAGCGATAAAGCTCACAAAGCAAGGACCATGATAGGCATCCACTTTGCTCAGGTTATCCCGATCAATCAATTGAACAATCAACCGCTATAGAGTTCCTTTCTGTAGACTAACCATCTGAAGTGATTGTGCAACCTAGAATGAGGTGAGATCTCAAAACAGGGTCACCCTGGAAGGACACTTCAGCACTATGATATCAGTTGATCGAAACTGTTGATCTTATTTCGTTCGAACGACACTCTGAGCTGTAAATTAGAGGCAGATGCTTTTTCGGTGTTTTATCGAATCATGCGTATAAAACACAACAGACGCTTTTTGCACTAATCTGATCTCTGACCGTATTTGAAAGCGGGTTTCCCATTTGAGTTGTAACAGTGGTTAACGTATCCCATACAACATTCAGACTTCAATTTGTTTCCTCCTACTACCGGCGCTAACAACTATGTGTGTGGATTTTGCCCTTCATGAATATTTCATATCTTCCTCCTTCGCCTTTCTGAGCAACACCATGAACTGGACAATTATGAGGGTACGAGTTCTAGTAAAGAAGTTTCTGAGCAAAATTATCCTTGAGGTCCAAACGTCACAACATCACGATCAGAAAAACGCTTCGAGCATAAACCTATGGTAAGCATTGATAAAACAATCGAACTATCCCTTATTTCACGGTGTTAAACAGATCCTAGTAAGCCTTTACTGGAGAGAGCTGAACCTTTCAAAATGCCTCAACCTGATTCAAGCAGTTTTTGACCGCGCCCTATGGTTAATTACTTTCGGAACTGGATCTGAACATAAGAGACAATATCTCGATCACAGAGGGCTTGATTAAAGCCTTTTATTGGCATCTTTTATGGTCCACGACCGGTCGCCGGTGGGTAGCGACCAGTCGCGCGACCGGTCGTGGACTATATGAAAGATGCCATTTCTTTAGTCGCGGCTGTAGTTGGGTGGCTGCTACCGCATCGAAGCAAATAAAGTCGCGATTCATACTGGTAATCTCGGATTAATCAGCGATGAAAAAATCGCATAAAATTCTTATATTGCTGGGTGAATGAACTTGTATTACCGAAAAATTCTATAGATGCGCAAATGTGACGATTCCTGAGAAACCTCAGGTGTTTTGTAATGGCTATAAATGTTTCAGCTGAACATCCCCGTAATCCAACAGCAGCGTCTAGATAGATCACAACCTGATGAAAGTGTGGCCATCGAGGTTCGAGGTAGGTCAAGTGTATGAAAATGTTGAATGTTGAGTGCTTGCTAAACATACTGGAAATCACGTTTTACTAAAGAATCCTGTTATAGGAAATCGAGTATTTGCGACACACGCAGACGCCAGTAAAGACATAAGTTTCATGCCGGCTGGTATTTGAGCCTTTGAACAAACATTTTGTGTTAAGTTTGTGTTGTTGTTGTTTTTGTCACAAATATTAACGAAGGAACATTCAATCATTGAATAAAGTTCTTTTCGTTCCCTTATGTTAACGCGATTCAATAAAAGAACTTGGAACAAAACGTATCGAAGAATAAACAAATCAATTGAAGGTTCATCACGTACCTTATCCTCGATACGCTTTTTGGGCTTTTTCGCAGCTTCTCCAAAAGATGATGTAATTCAACATGTCCTGCCAAAAGTGCTTACTGCCAAAAGTCCTGGAATTCGATGCACTCAAAATCATATGTCAATCAGAAAGCTACTAGCTATATATGTTTACATTTAAGTGTGGATGATACGCGAAGACACCATGAGAAATCGGGTTTCAAATAGTATTCGAAAAGGAAACAGTCAAGGAAAGCGTTTAAAGACCACTCCGTACCTCCACCTATACATTCTTGCGTATGCGTTCGAACACGACTACTTTAAGGATTGCGGAGTCCAGAAAAGTTTCTTATTCCAAAAAACTGAGAAAAACAGTCTACCTACCACTACACAGATGCGTCCACTTCGACTTCCTTTCAGAATCGTAGTGGCGTATTGGATGCATATGTGGCCTATCGATTACTTTTGGTGGCCAGCTGATGTACAAGTCAGTGCTTTAATGTTCCCAGACGAGTCTGGTACCAAATAACCAACCTCGAAGAGATTGAAGGATCGGTTGGCCTAGGCGTAAATCATTCCGGAATTGGAACTCGTGACAATGCGTGTGTGAGGTGCGCCACTTGCCATTACACTACATCCGCCCATAAGACTGAATCAATCATGATCAAGCTCCAATCAAAAAAGCGATGAAGGTTGAGCTCAGTTGACACTGTTCCCACTATCAGTTGCTGAGGTATTTCAAGGACCCACGAAATTACGGTGAGAAGGTAGGTTACGTGCACGCCTTAAGAGATCTCGAACTTCAGTAGTGCCGTGGAGACGCTCGATTGGATATTCACAAATTGTCTTGATCCATTTCAGGCTCTGGATGCCTCAACCGTCTGAGTGAGATAGTTCCATTTCTTTTTTTTTTCTAACAAAGCAAATCGTCTGAGATGAATCTAGCCCAAATAGGATATCTATCATTCACAATTTTCCACAGGTAACTGCGACCGCTATTACCTGTTATATCGATCCTCCAAGGAATATGAAACAATTCATAGCGTCACTGAGTGTAAACGATAGGCTGTTCGATCCTTCTCAATCACTGGGCGGTCAAACCTTAGAAAGTAGAGGAGGTAAGGAGAGGGATGGGGACGCTTCCACAATGACATAGATTGTGCCTATAAATCAATTTCAATCGATTATAACTCACGACTTTTACTGGTGTTGCAACAGGGTAACATACCTCTCCTGAGCTAAAGGGAAGTCCACAGGAAAATTCTCGGATAGTGACATCGATTCAGCTCGTCGGCCTCAAAGCGTTGAACTCGCAGAAAATCTTTTTAAAAAAATATCGAATATCCCACTATTCATCCTCGCAGATAACGGGTGTTGCACGCGTTGAGTTATAAAATACGTTGAAGGCTATTACTGTTCACTTGCTCACTTCATCTTACGACACTGAAAAATATCTTTCACAGGCTGTCATCATCACACTATTCCTGCAGCTATAAACGGCATCATTCTCAATACTTTCAAAAGTTGCCTATGGATTTGAGAAATATACCCTGAGTTTAGCACAAAATGTAATCAGCATCCTCAACAACCCTATCTACCCCTTCATCATCCCTTTCACCTTTCTATCAATGCAAAAGTCCGTAGGAAATCAGTTGCTATGCAATGCAAGAAAAGTTGAAACTTAGAAGAGTACTTTTTGAACCTCTTTTCCCACACATCCTGTATATGTGTTTCGTTTTCATACCATTTAGGTCGAATACCGAGGAGTCACAGGTGATAGGGTACCTGATTTCATAGTTTCTTATCATAGATTAACTTAATCAAAGATGTAATTAAGCCTCCATCACTCTCTCAGACGTTCTGCCAGCTTTGTGACGCCTTTACGTTGGAATTTATCGCTAAGGCTCAGCGAACAGCTTCCTGCAATTCTGATCAAGAGACTAACCTTGAATGAAAGCGACAAGTTTTGTTGAGCAACCAAAACGTGAAATATTCAGAACTTTCAGGAGATAATCAAAAGAACGCCACTGGTTTATTTCGCGCGATGGGAAGATACAGTACCGGTCACTGAAGTATGCGTTTTCAATTTCTTAAACGTAACTTCCGCAAACTTCAACCTTTCAGCGGGAAATCTATATAGTAGGTAACTTAAGTAGTTGTAACATTACACTTGTGCAGCAGTCTAGCAGCACACTTCCAAAGGAAACTGGCGCTTAATTTTCAAACAGCCCCAAATGCACACTTTCGCCTTCGATAACTCTTAAGTTTTTATGTTAGGAATTTCGAGGTAATTCTCGCTCCTTTGTGTCACGTCATGCACCTAGTACATCAATAATGCTCTTTCGAGGCATTCGGGAATCTGTGAGTTACGGCAAGATCAAGTTGACGCCGTCATTCAGAGCTTCTAGGCAGCCTTAACATCCAGGCGAGTTTCCGAAATTCAAGGCGTGCCAGTTATGTGCATACAAAGGATTTGGAAGAAACGAGGCCACATTGTCAGCTGAAGTCAAAAGTCACCCAGAAGCATCTACATTGACACTATGTCTTGTCGACACAAAAATTATGCAGAGTGCAAGAAATGGCTAGCGTAAAAATTTTTCGCGAAATTTCGGGGCCTGAGAGACCAATCCATCGATAAACACTGCTCCACGTCTTTTGAAAGAGGTCGGCCTGTTTGGACGTCGTTCAGCAAAGAAGCCGCTGATTTCCGCCAAGGATCGCAAAGTGCTTCTCGATTGGGCTCATGGTCACAAAAACTGGGAAATCCAGCAGCGGCGTAAGGTCATCTAAAGTGACAAACCCAAATTTTTGCTGTCCGGCAAGGATGAAATCAAGTTTGTGCGACGTCCCGTCGGTACCAGATGCCATGCAAGTTACCAGCTGACGACCGTGAAATATGGCGGGGGTGCGGTGATGGTTCACGGTAGCTTCTGTGGCGAAGGAGTTTGCCCCTTATGAAGTATCGAGGGTAGGATGATTCCATAATATGCACCAACATAATGGAGGTTGTTGTCTACCCGTTTGTTCCCAGTACTAACCCCAGTGTCTTAATTTTCCAACAAGACTATGACCCGAAGAACAAATCGAAGCTGCTCACCAACTGATTCCGTTCCTCGCTACCGTGGCCGTTGCGATTCCCAGGTCTGAGCCCCAATGATTACCTGTAGGAGTGGCTCGAGTGTCAAGATAAAAGCTTTTGGGCCCACAATGAGCATGACAAGCTCCTCAACTTAAGAGTGTATGGGAGAACATCCCTCAGGGAGAAATCAACAAAGTAATCAAGTCCATGCACCGCCGTTTCAAGCGATCATTGATTCCAAAGGTTGTGCTATGAAGCATTGGTGTCTTACTTGTTATATTTGCTCTTATGCAAGTTGTTGCGCTGAGAAATGGAAAATTAAGATAGAATGAAGTTCCACCGGTATTATGGAGCTTACCCCTTTTCTTGACAAAAGTCTTTCAAAATAGTCCACAATTAACTTGGGCGACTGAAAACTCACTCTCTGACCACATTCTGATAGGCATTCACAGTGGGAAACCAGATATGAAGATGCTGTTTTAATGAAGTTACGTTTGAAAAAGTGAAAACGCATTCTTCACTGACCGGTACTGTATGTAGATTCTAGTGTTGTTCAATTGAATTTCGACTTCTCAACCTTTCACTTTGCGAATTGCGATTTTTTAGATCATAAGCTTCAAAGAAATAGCAAGAAGTGGGATCGTACGAGATGGCCGTCTGGGTATCTCTCATTCAAGCGTGATATTCCATGAATAGTGCAGCAATAAGAAGGCTGGCACAATACGGCTACTTCGAGTGTCTTTCATTTTTATTGAGAACTGGGCCCTTGAAACAAATGCACCACCATCTTGATGTATGAATCGATTCTCTCTGAATGGCACCAGAGTCCCAAGAGATACCATGCAAACTCGGAATATAGAAGAAAACGACATTACTCATGTAAAAACAGAAGTTTAACTATGAAATAAAGCTCCTTTCAGGACAACATAACAGCAGTTTCCCTTCAAAAACGATTGAATGTGATAGATGCCTTCTACAGTTGTTTTATTTTACTTTGTTAGTCACTCTTTTCTATCCTGGGCAGTCGCCTTTTACGTTCAACTCGAAAATTATTGGAGGTAATGATTTGTAAAGCCGTGCAGTAAGTTTTACCGCTACTACACGGTGCATACGAGAGCAACAAGAAGTATGCTAATCAAGCATTCAGGACTGAAATAGCGATTCAAAACTATAAAGGCCTACATGGACAAACCAAGGTCAGCACTTGCACGACACACTAGTGTGGTATTGATACATAAAGGCAAATCAGAGCTGAAGCAATTCCAACACAAGTTAGCTTTTAAAGTATGTAGCTATTGAAACATCCTAATTCTTTGAGATCTACCAACGTTTCTGTAGAAATCGTTCTCATCATGTCGGCGTAGTAGCGATAAATAATTACATCCAGACCAGTCGGTTCGCCCGGCTAACGTTGGGCTTTCTTCCTTCTTCGACAAAGCTGCAGTAATCGGCTAACTCCCACTCCTTTTCTGAGACAAATAATAGTTCCTTGTGCACGAACGTTGACACAGGACTAACACGGCAGTACAATGGCATTCAGTGAAAGTCGGTGCTTACAGCCTTGATTGGAAATGTCGAACATCTGCTCTTTTCCGCAAAAATAAACAGCAATTGAAAATTCAACTATTAGATGATCAAAGCTTTAAGCGGTACCTACAAATGTTTCAAGCAGTGAAAACATCACTATCAGATGTCGCCATCAATGGAACCTTCTCCTTAGATCAGGATCATTAGTTGAAAATTCAAAATTACGGGTGGTCGGTTGAGTTTTGTTGGAAGTGATATTGAACAAAGAGGATCCTTCATTATGTCACAAACCTTGCTGGGAAGCGGT